TTTGGTTTTTCGAGACAGGGTTTCTCTGTGTAGTTTTGCGCCTTTCCTGGAGCTCACTTGGTAGCCCAGGCTGGCCTCGAACTCACAGCGATCCACCTGGCTCTGCCTCCCGAGTGCTGGGATTAAAGGCGTGCGCCACCACCGCCCGGCGGTGCTCGGCTTTAATCCCAGCACTCGAGAAGCAGAGGCAGGTGGATTTCTGTGAGTTTGAGGAAGCCAGCCTGATCTACAGAAAGAGTTCCAGGATATCCAGGGCTACAGAGAAAATCTGTCTTGAAAAAAAAAATCTACATAGTAGTATTTTCTCATTTAGTTGTTGAAAACTAAAGACACACATTTTAAAATGTTTCCTTAGCATATATTGATTAAACATAATGATGGGTTCCATTATGAGATTTTTCACACATGCATGGGATGTGTTTCTATCGTATCCCCCTCCCCATTTCCCTCTCTTGTCTCCCTCACCTTCCTCTTCCCAACTAGCTGTGTGTGCATGCGTGTGTGTGTGTGTGTGTGTGTGTGTGTGTGTGTGTGTGCTGGGTGTGCAATGAGTTTTCTTGAGAGTTGCTCACAGATACATGGACACCTTACCTGCAGCTATACAATGGAAGAAATTATCAGGACACGATCTTAAGAACCAACCAGAGGGCCAAAAGGACACTGCAGCCTCTGGAAAACAAGAAGAAGACTTGCAGCTTCCTTCTCAACAGAAACAATGGGAGCCTGAATACACTGGGATTTCTTTAAAGAGCTAAGAGGAAGTAGCCACCAACTATTCCATTTTCAATTGAAACACTTGTTTAAAGATGCAGGTAAAATAAGATGTTTCTGCATAATCAAAAGCAGAATTTCTTGCCAATGGATGTGTAGGAAAAGAGAGAAGTAAAGTGAGGTATTTAAGCTTTAAAAATACACAAATATTAGGAAATTCAGAAAACATATATAAATTTTACCCAAAGAAACAAAAATTGGAGTATAATGAAGATATCATCTTGATACAGTGTTTGGAATACAACTGGACAAGTATTTAGAGGGAATCCAGGCATAGTGGCACATGCCTATAATACCAGCACTCTGGAGGCAGAGGCAGGAGGATTGCCACAAGTTCAAGGCCAATGTTGTCTACTTAGTGAGTTTCAGGCCATCCATAGCTACACAATGAGACCCTGATTCAAAATAAATGGAGGCAACTTTATATTAACAAAAGAGAAATGACGTAGACAGACAGACAGACAGACAGATAAATGAGGACATGGGAGAAATGGTGATAGTTGAGTTGAAGCCAGGGTTTGTGTTGAAATATCATCTAAAGAGGCACTACTGGATATATCAAATACAGTATTGTTTTAGTCTATTTGTTTTTCTATAACAAAATACCACAGACTGCATGATTTATAAAGCACAGAAGTCAATCATCTACTGTTCTAGAGGCCCGAGAGCAGGATGCTCTCACAGGTGTGTGCTGGCTCATCCTCACATCAGAAGGCAGAGGACAGCATAAGTGATCTCTTTCTGAGGTCTCTTCTTTAGAGGCGTCTATTCATTTATGAATGGAACCATCGAAGTTAATCACTTTCCAAAAGACCCTACCTCTCAGACCTACATTTGGAATCAAATTTCAACAGGAATTTTAAGGGGAGCTCCACATTCAAACTCTAGCACCTCTTTCACCATTGCAGAATTCATTCTAATGAGGATGTGGCCATTTGCCCTCCAGCTCAAAGCCTCTTGGACACCTTTCTGCTGCCCATAGAATCAAGTATGAATTTGGAGGATGTGGTGGTGCAGTGAGCACTATTGATGGTGTGTGAGAAAGTAGTGCTTCCTAAACCCCTCCCCTTCTTGTGGGCATCTGGGATGGGAACTATGAGGGGAGATGCTCAGTGTTGGGGACTGAGTTGGGCCAGGAACTCCACAGCAATTGAAGGACACCCCCTTCTTCTGGTGTTCTTGCTGGGGTGTTGGTCCTGGCAGGGCTCTTTACTCAGGGTGGCCATGTGGACGGCAAGGTCTCCCATTTAGTTGCTTCAGCCAAACTCATTATCATTCTAGGAGATGAGCTTGACAAAGTGGCCATTGAGGGCAATCCTGGCCCCAGCATCAAAGGAAGATGGGTGAGTCTGTTAAAGTTGCAGGAGACAACACGGCCCTTGGTATACCTCAGGATGTGCTTCAGGGCACCCTCAGATGCCCATGTCACTTGTGTGGGTTTTGTTGTTGTTGTTGTTGTTTGGTTTTGGTTTTGGTTTTTGTGAGTCAGGGTCTCACTACACAGCCCTGGCTAACCCAGAACTCAGAAAGATCTGCCTGTCTTTGCCTCTCCCATACTGGGATTAAAGGCATGTGCCACCACACCCGGCAGTCACCACCTTCTTGACGCCATTGTATTTGACAGCTTCCTCCAGGCAGCAGGTCAGATCCATAACAGGCACAGTAAGAGTGGGAACATGGAAGGCTACGCTAGCAAGCTTCTCATTCGGTTCTGGGATGGCTCAGCAACTCCAGAACATTCAGGTATGATAGAATGGGGAGCCAGCCCCCATGGCCATCTCACCACCTCTCTCAGAGGGGTTGTTTATGGCCTTCTGGGTGGCAGTGATGGCATGGAGTGTAGCCATATGTTCCTCCATGACGCCAAACTTGTTGTGGATGACCTTGGCTGTGGGTGCAGGCTGAGTGGTTGGAGGTACACGAGGCAGGGCCAACAATCTTGAGAGTTAGTTACTTCATTGGTTTGTGCCCATCTCTTACATGAAGGACTCAGCACAAAGGGCAGAGATAATCATCCTTTTAGCTTCACCTTGGCTTCTCCATGTAGTCATTTTAGTTACTGTCCTATTGCTATGGAGAGACACCATGACCAAGGCAAGTTATAAAATAAAGCATTTGGCTGGGGACTTGCTTACAGTTTCAGAGGGTCAGTTCATGATCATCATGGCAGGAAGCAGACTGGCATGGCGCTGGAGCAGTAGCTGAGAGTTTTACATCCTGATCTGCAGGCAACAGGAAGAGAGAGAGAGAGAGAGAGAGAGAGAGAGAGAGAGAGAGAGAGAGAGAGAGACTGGGCCTGGTGTGGGCTTTTGAAATCTCAAACCCACCCCCAGTGACACACCTCCTTCAACAAGACCACACCTCTTAATTTTCCTAATCCTTCTCAAACAGTTCATCAACTGAGGACCAAGCTTTTCAATGTATGAGCCTATGGGGGCCATTTTCATTCAAAACACCACAGTAGCAAAGACACTGGGGGACTCCACAAGATACTCAGCACCACAACAGCATTCTGGCTGGCCTTCTTTGTGACAAAGCTGCCTTTAAGTCACCCCTGCTCCTGTAAATAACCCCACTTAACTCCCTGATTCACAAAATTAGACCTGTGTGGAATCATTTTGGTTTGTTGTTGGTGCCCTATCTGGGGTGAACAGACATGTGTGTTCACGTCTCCCCAGAAAAAGTTACTCAACAAGAGATGATGGACATGAGCCATCAGCACACCCAGTCTGGAATCCCTTTTCATCTTTAAGGATCCCCCAAATGTTGCCTAGCCTGGCTCCCCACTTGTGCTTCCTGACCTCTTCTTATCCCAGCAGAGATGACCCTGGAAAGTTTGCACTACTTATCTCTCCTATAGTATGATGTTGTCGCTTGAAGATGGCTTCCCACCCACTTCTGGGTTGGAATTTTTTTTTTAACTCTTTATTTATTTAATATGTATGTGTGTGAACCTGAATGAGCAATATAGGCATGGTGTATGGAGAGGAGCCCATGGAGGTCAGAAGAGGATGTCAGATCTGGAACTGGAGTTCCAGGTATTTTTGAGTGACCATGTGGGTACCGGGAACCAAACCCAGGTCTTCTGCAGCAACCCTGAGCACTCGTGACTGCTGAGCTGCCTCTCCAGTCCTTAGGTTGGAAATTTTAAAATGTGAGTGGAAAACACCAAATCTTGTCATTCTGCTGGCTAGAAAGAAAGAACTCTGAGATTCTAGTAAGGGCAGAGCCACCAAATACGTGTCCTCAATCCTGGAGTCACCCATGGAAGGAATGGCTTTTCTTGCCTCTAAGTTGACCTTTATTTTCAGTAGTTAGGAAGCAACAGAGCACCTTCAAAGTCCAGAGTTGAGAAACAATCGTGCAAGCACCTCTAGCATACAGAAGGAACATGAAGAACCCGGGAAGACAGGCAACTGTGCTGTGCATAGACTGATCCAGGAAATGGGTAACTGCGCTGTTCATAGACTTGTGGTATTGTGTTCCCCCAAATATTGTGCATGCTAATAAACTTATCTGGCATCAGAGACAGAGCAGCCACAATATTAAACATAAAGGATAGGCAGTGGTAGCACATGCCTTTAATCCTAGCATTCCAGAGGCAGAAATCCATGTGTTCAAGGATACAGACAGGCATGGTGACTCATCACGCCTTTAATCCCAGAAAGCAAGCCTTTAATCCCAGGGAGTGGTGGTAGAAAGCAGAAAGGTATATAAGGCGTGAGAACCAGAAACTAGAAGCATTTGGCTGGTTAAGCTTTCAGGCTTCTAGCAGCACAGTTCAGCTGAGAGCCATTCTGGATGAGGACTCAGAGGCCTTCAGTCTGAGGAAACAAGACCAGCTGAGGAATTGGCAAGGTGAGATAGCTGTGGCTTGTTCTGCATCTGATCTACCAGCATTCACCCCAATACCTGGCTCAGGTTTGATTTTATTAATAAGAACTTTTAAGATTCCTGCTACATAGACTGATCCAGGAAGATGGGTAACTGCGCTGTTCATAGGCTGATCCAGGAAGATGGGTAACTGTGCTCTGCATAGACTGATCCAGGAAGATGGGTACCTGCATTGTGCATAGACTGATCTAGGAAGATGGGTACCTGCATTGTGCATAGACTGATCTAGGAAGATGGGTAACTGTGCTGTGCATAGACTGATCCAGGAAGATGAGTAACTGCACCGTGCATAGACTGATCCAGGAAGACGGATAACTGCACTGTGCATAGACTGATCTAGGAAGATGGGTAACTGCACTGTGCATAGACTGATCTAGGAAGATGGGTAACTGCGCTGTGCATAGACTGATCCAGGAAGATGAGTAACTGCACCGTGCATAGATGAGGAAGATGCCCTGTTCACCACGCAGGAGCTTCAGACGCTCACATGACAAATATTTCCCAGGACAATGAAGCAAATAAACGAGCCTCTGCACTGATCTGAGTACAGAAGAACTCAGCAGTGCTGATGGGGACTCAGCACCAGCCGGATGGCTCAGCTGGTGAGATGCTTGCTGCGCAAGCCTGATGGCCTGAGTTCAATCCCTGCATCCCACAGTGGAAGGAGAAACCAACTCCCAGAAGCTACCCTCTCTCTAACTTCCACCTGCAGGCTAGCTCTTGCCCACTCATACACACACACACACACACACACACACACACACACACACACATACCAAACAAATACAAACATACAAAAACATACATACATACATACATACATACATACATACATACATACATACATATCATATACATGTGCTAAAAATAATAAGTTTTTAAATTTGGCCGGTGTGGTGGTATTCGATTTTAATCCTAGCACTCAGGAGGCAGAGACAGGCAGATGAGTTTGAGGCTAGCCCGGGCTACAGAGTGAGATCTTGTATAAATAAAATAATAATAATAATAATAATATAGAGGAGAGTTGGTAACTCTAGGAGTTAGGGCCTGAGCCTGTAGCTTTATGCCTGCTAGGCTAGCACCTGACTACCATGTTACCTCCCTAGCCATAGGATTTAACTTTTTAAATTTTTAGTATTTTTCATGTGTATGGGCCTTTTGTTTGCATGTATGTCTATGCACCATGTGTGTGCCTGGTGGTGCCCTCAGAGGCCAGAAGAGGGTGTCAGATCCCCTGGAAATGAAGTTATAGACAGTTGTGAGCTGCCATGTGGGTTCTGGGAATTGAAGCCAGGTCCCCCGAAAGAAGAGCTAGTGCTTTAACCGCTGAGCCATCTCCCTAGTTCCTAGTTGTAGGATTTTTGAGACAAGGTCTCACTATTTGTACTCCAGGCTGGCCTTGAACTTGTGACCCTCTTGTATCTTGCTAAAATTAGAGGTATGCGTTCCCGTTCCCAGATGAATTCCATTTTGACGCATTGCACAGCTGACGTACCATGAAACCCTGTATCATTAAGGAAAAGACTGAGATAATGAACTTTCTTGATATCTGTATAAAATAATTTTCACGAGTCAGATGGCTAATGAAAATTAGGAGTTTGCTGGAAAGAAGAAAGTTCTCTCTCCAACGTCGTCTAGATCAGGCTTCGTCAGGATTTACGTGTTGAGTGTGCTGGGTACACATTGCTGCACAACTGGAACTGGGCTTTACACAACAGAAAGCACTTTCTTCCACGCCCTTTACGAACTGGACAGTCGCAGCCTGCTTTCAGCCGCCCAAGCCCTCAAAGGCTCACTCTCTGCTTTACCAGCTCTTGCTTTGGAGTTTTCAGTATCATGTTAACATCCTCCTTGCTACAAGGTGGCTGCCGAACATCCATACATTGTACCTGGCAGAGTTTTCTAATGTGAATCACTGGATGAAACAATGTCACATGGCATGACTAATGGGAATCTGACGCCCTCTTCTGGCCTCCAGGAGGAAGCTGCATACATGTGCATATCCCACCCTCATCTCCACCCTCTATAAATAAACACCAAATCTTTTTTTTTTTTTTTTTTTTTTTTTTTTTTTTTTTTTTTTGTTTTTTGAGACAGGGTTTCTCTACGTAGCCCTGACTGTCTTGGAACTCACTATGTAGACCAGGCTGGCCTTGAAACCAGAGAGATCTGCCTCTGTTTCCCAAGCAATGGGATCAAAGGTGTGCACCACTATCACCAGGCCTGGCATCAGATCTTAAAGAAAAGAAAAACGAATGAGACTAATAACACAGAGGACATTCAAGGACAGAAACTTTCCTAACAAAGTGGTATGGAAGGGACATTAATTATCAAGTTAACTCTTCTTTTGCAGTTAGTAAGGAGGGCTGGAGGGAAATGGGGAACATGATCCAGAGAAAGAAGAGGAGGCACGAAAGGAAGGCGAGGGAGCAGCAGGGGGTTATGGGAGCATTGCTTCCCTGTGGTTGCTATAATTGCCACAACCTTGGTGCCTTAAAACAGCAGAAACTTGGGCCAGAGAGATGGCTCAGCAGTTAGAGGCCTGGAGTTCGGATCCCAGCACCCATGTGAAAAGCCAGGAATGGTCCTACAAATGCCTGTAACCTCAGCACTGAAGGAATGTAGGCAGAAGGGTCTCTGAGGTTTGCAAGCTCCAAGTTCAGCGAGAGACCCTCAAAGGAACGAAGAGAAAGAGAAGAGCACACCTGCAACCCTCCTCTGACCTCTGAAGAGCATAGATACACACGCTCACCCCCACTCATCCCCACATCACACAAGCTCACATAAACACAAAGTAAATAAATAAACCCAGAAATGTGCTCTTACATAGTTCTGGAGGACAGAAGTCCTATACCTGTACCCTAGAACTGAAACCAGGGTGTCAACAGGACACTATACTTCTGCCTTTTGTGGTTCCTGTGGCCACCAACATTTCTTGGCTGGTGGTGCCATTATTCCAGGCTCTGCCTGCATAGTCACAAGGCATCCTTTTAACTGTATAATCTGCCTCTTTCTCCCTCTCATAATGACATTTATCACAACATTTAGTGGCCTCCCAGATAACTGAGGATAATCTAATCTCAAATCCTTAATTATACCTGTAAAGACTTTTGTTCTAGGTAAGGTCACACTCGTGGTTTCTTCCATGGCTTCCATGAATAGAGACCAGGATATCCTTTTTGTGGGAGACAGTATGCATATTTTAGTCTATGATGGTGGGAAAAGGCAAGAAGAGGAGGAAAGGACTTTGAGATCTCAGACCCTCCTATTTGAAGGGCTATGTTCCTTTAGAATGAATAGTATTGTCCCCTAACCATTCCTTCTGTCACTAGAAGCATGTTAGCTCTATGCATGCGCCAGTGGCCACTCACAGCCATGGCTGTAGAAACAGTGAAGAGACCTAGGACCTCAGCCACTGTCTTCTGCAGTTCACCATGCTTTCACGGCTCTAGAGGAAAAGGCCTTGCTTTCAGCCTTACCTGCCTTTCTTGGCATCCTTCTCAGGAGGCTGTCTACCACAGGCTTGATCACTCTCCACACCCTGGAGGACAGGGCTCTCCTCCCTTGCTCATCTTCAGAGCTGGTTCTGTTTGGGTCTCATGTTTGACATCGAGGTAGTCGCTATGGCCGAGTTGACAGAGGCTCTAATTAGCTGGGTGAGATGTCCACCTCCCACAGGAGGGGTCGAGCCAGCCTGTCTAGAGCCACACAGGCTTAGAGCTGGAAGAAGCAATTGGCCACTGAGAAAGACTACAGGGAAGGCATGCCCTGGAGCAGATGAGAAAACTCTCCTGCCTTTCCCAGACTGTGGCATGCCTCGGAGGAGGAGACACGGAGACCTTCTCAGGAAACTTCCACTGTTTGCAGACCGAGTAGACAGCAGCGAAGTTTCCCTTGGGAGTCTTGGCTCAAGTGGGAAAGGCCCTGCTGGTTCCTACGGGGAGCTTTGCACATGTTAGAGAATCCCAGATGAGAGCCTGGGAGCATTCACGCCACTGCTTTTGCATTTCTATTGGCATCTGGTCCATTGGGTTGTGGAATATTCCTTTACACTGTGTAAATATATGTCACTGTGACTGGTTTAATTAAAAAAAAGCTACACGGCCAGTAACTAGGCAGGATTTGGGGAGCAGAGAGAATGCTGGGGAGAAGAAGGGTGGAGTTGGGGGAGTTGCCAGGCAGAGGCAGAAGCAGCAGCATGAAAAGTACGTAGATGAGGTAAATGAGCCTCAGGACAGCATATAGATGAATAGAAATGGGCTAATTTAAGTTGTAAGAGCTAGCTAGAAGCAAGCCTAAGTTATTGGCTGAGCTTTCATAATTAATAAGAAGTCTCTGTGTGGTTATTTGGGAGCCAGCAGTCCCAACAAAAAACTCTGCCTACACTGGGTCCACACACTAGTCCTTCAGGAACGTTGAGTCTTCTTACACACACACACAAACACACACACACACACACACACACACACACACACACACACACACACACTTTCAGAGTCTCTGTGCAATCCCGGCTGATCTGAAATTCAGATCAGACAAATAAATGGTGTGTGTGGGGGGGGGGTGGCGGTGTGTTACTTCTGACTTGTCCGTTAAACACTGGGCTATTCCTCCAACAGCATCCTATTTCCTGTGGCTGTGGGTTCTACAAGTACCACTGAGCAGGTCTGTACCTGTCTATTTCCAACCTGACAGTAGTTTCTAGAGAAAAGAAGCCTTAACTAAGAATATATAAATCTGCTGACCAGAACTTGAACCATGGGAAGAGGAGACAGGGGAGGGGACTTCAAGAATAGTATTCTGTAGGTGTGACAGTTGATTGGCTTGATCAGTTTGGGAGGCAACTAGGCAGTGGGACCGGGTCCTGTGCTCATTGCATGAGTTGGCTGTTTGAAACCTGGAGCTTATGCAGGGATATTTGGCTCAGTCTGGGAGGAAGGGACTGGACCTGCCTGGACTGAGTCTACCAGGTTGATCGCAGTCCTGGGGGGAGGATTTGCCCTGGAGGAGGTGGGAATGGGGGGTGGGCTGGGGGTAAGGGGAGAGTGTGGGAGGGGGGAGAATAGAGGAACCCGTGGCTGATATGTAGAACTGAATGGTATTGTAAAATAAAATAAATAAAATTAAAAAAAAAAAGAATAGTATTCTGGGCTGGAGAGATGGCTCAGAGGTTAATTAAGAGCACTGACTACTCTTCCAGAGGTCCTGAGTTCAATTCCTAGCAACCACATGGTGGTTCACAACCATCTGTAATGAGATCTGGTGCCCTCTTCTGACCTATAGTCATATATGCTGTATACAAAATAAATAAATAAATCTTAAAAAAAAATAATAGTGTACCACCTCCAGGATAGAATAAGAGTTGAGATGGGGGGTTAGGGATTTAGCTCAGTGGTAGAGCTCTTGCCTAGCAAGCACAAGGCCCTGGGTTCGGTCCTCAGCTTCAGAAAATTTAAAAAAAAAAAAAAAGAGTTGAGATGGAAACACAAGCTGAAGGAGATATGTCTAACCACAGACCACAGAATTGCTGGAGATGGTGAGTATCCTGGCACTGGAAGCATTCTACTGAGCTGGATATCCAGTCTAAGGATCCCATACAAGACTTTCAAACCTGAGATTTTGGTTTTTGTTACGTTTTGTTTTGTTGTTTTGTTTTTTCCAGACAGAGTTTCTCTGTGTAACAACAGTCCTGGCTGTCCTGGAACTCACTCTCTAGACCAGGCTGGCCATGAACTCACAGAGAGCAGCCTGCCTCTTCCTCCCAAGTGCTGGGATTAAAGGTGTATACCATTACCGCCTGGCTTGGTTTTTTTTTTTTTTTTTATTAGGGTGGTTTGCGTACTGCTTTTGAGGCTGCATTAAAGGCAAGACTGGTCGGTCCTTTGTATGTTAATGGTATTGATAAACACATATCAAGACTGAGTTTTAAAAATAAGAGAATAAAAACACATTAGGATTCTTTTCCCATAAAATACTTCTTAGAATCTGGCAAAGTTGGGGGAGGGAAACTATGATCAGAATATATGAAAAATAATTATTTTCAATAAAAAGAAACAGCTAGCAAATATAGATGTATACCCCGCTCCCTCAAATCGCAGACTAAAAGCAATTATGTTATTCCTCATTCTCAGTGTCCTGGAGTTTGCAGAGCCTTTTGAGGTGTCTAAGTGTATAAACCACAAGTCTATGTGATCTTTTTAAAGAACAAAAATAATGACCCAGGTGTTCAGTGATTTGAAACCCGGAAGAAGGGAGGGAGGGAGGCAGAAAAGCTAGCGTTATCAATAGAACTGACCGGTTCCTGAATAAAAATAAGGAATTTTGAATGAAGTTTTGAAGATTCTTAAAGATGGAGGATAATTCTGTGGCTTCGTGGTTTTATTTTTACTCTTTCATTCACCACGCTCCTTCTTTCTAGCAAGTCTCCAGTTTGTTGGCAGATAAAAATACATCTGCAGAGTTGCCCAGAAGCTGCGCCATCAGCTCCGTAGCCAACAAGCCTCATTTTCTTGTGCCGCTATAGACATGTCTCCCTCCTCTAGTTTACCAGGATCAAAGTCCTTTTCATTCTTAGACGAGTTTTCTCGGAGGAAACCTGAATTCAGAGTTTATCTCAGGTGGGGTCAATCCTTGAAGGCGGACCGGTAGTCATGGTGCTTACGCTTTATTCCCCTGCACAGCCTCGCCGGAGTTGCGCCCCCTCTCTGTGCTCCCTGAGAATACGCCAGCCAAGTCCAGAAAATCCGTTACCAGGCTGCTGTATCCCTAAAGGCCATTCCCAAGGCGGAAGAAGACGGGGACAGCCCCTGTGTTGATTCCCCGGGCCAAGTGAGCCGAGAGCGCATCGGGTCGTGTTATGGGCAGGTGAGCCTGGCGGTTCCGTGAACCTCAGACGCCGGAACACCCCTGGCCAGACGCGCCCCGGCAGCCTCCAGGAGCTGGCATTCGTCTGCTCACCTCCTGGAGTTGGGAGCCCACGACATCGACTGCGCGGGTTGTTCTGGGCGCAGCTCAACAGGACCTTGATATAGAGGGATCGGGGTCCCCAAAGTGAGCAGACCAACCCTATAAAATTAGTATCTACCAGACTCCCCCCCCCCACACACACACACACTTCCCTCCAGGAAGGAAGGTAAACAGGAAAAAAAAATAAAAACAAAAACTCAAAGCTTTCTAGCCGTCTTTGCTGATAGAGGAGGAGAGAGTGTGTATCAATTTTCAATCCTTGGCTTCCTGGGTGGGTCCTTTCCTGCCTCCGAATTTGAGGATCCAGTGGTTAGGGTAGGAAGTAATGGGACAAGCTGAGGACTAGAGACTCGCTTTAAGTAAGCGTTCTCATGATATGCACTTGGCTTTTGTCTTGATTGTGCGTTTATCTTGGGTGAAGGGACTCCTGGGGTGCAAGGTTTCGGGGTGGAAGCTGCTTTGGTAAAATAAGCCTTATTTTCTTAGATTGAGTGGCACAGATCAGTAAAGCGACGTGCTCCAAAGATGCAAGATTTTTAGACTTATTATTGAGGGGTGTTCCAGATGATAGGACACCGAAGCTCTCAGCCCCCCTCCCTTTACCTGACAAGCGTCTTGAGGACCCTCCTACATCCGACCACCGAGGTTCCAGAAAGCCTGGAAACAGTCCCGCAAGGTCCAGAGCCAATTTCTGGCTTGCTTGACAGAGACAAATCCACTTCGGAGGTGGGGGCCAATTCATGGGAGACCCCAACTCGTAGAAGGGGTGCCCGGGGCAGTGGACCTGGGGCTTGTTTTAAGAGTTTATCCTATAAAGTGCATGTGATGGAGGTATGAGGCAGAGGGTTTATTTTAAAAATGTTCTTCCTTTTTTAAAAAGAGGAGGGGGGAAGAATCGGACGTTAAATTCTTTTGCAAACATTCATGCCTAAGGAAGGGCTGGATCAGGCAGCCCCGGCCGCCGGAACCGGTCGGACAGGTAGCGAGCTTGTTGACACCGTTATGTTGCAGGGCGCATGCTCACTCCCAAGTTTCCTGGTGCCTTTTCTATTCCACCTTATGAAACTTTTTCCCCGGCGTGGTCTCACGCGCGATTTAAGGCATAGGTGTCGCCGTGCCCGGAGGCTGCGAGTCACCCGGAGTGAGGGAAAAGGCCGGGGCAGCGCGGCGGGAGGTGCAGGAAGAGGGCAAACAAGGCGGGAAGGTGGGCTCCGGGAGCCAGGGGATTCAGGCGCCTCCACCGCCACTAGCGGGGAGCAGCGGGGAGGAGGGGGCCGCAGTCGGAAGAGGGGATCCCACCATGCCCAAAGTCTTTCTGGTGAAGAGGAGGAGCCCCGGAGTCTCGGTCCGCAGCTGGGATGAGCTCCCGGATGACAAAAGGGCAGACACCTACATCCCAGGTGAGGAGCGCGGGGGCCCGGCCTGGGCTCGGGGCTCCCGGGTGGGGGCAGGGTGACCGCGGCCCTCCTGATCGCGACCAGGGCTGACGTTCCCAGCCCTTCCCCCTCTCGGCTGGGGTCGTGGGGGGTCTTGAGGGAGGGGGATCGAGGGCCAGGCTGGGAAACCTGGGACGCTGGTGCTTTCTCCCTAGACAGGGCTAATTGCGGGGCGGCGGGACCGTTGGCTGCAGCGCGGGCCGAGCTGGCCCTGGAAGGGGGTGGAAGGCATTGGGGGTTCCCTTGCACCCTACGTCCTCTAAGCCGCACGTGAAGGTCCGCTAACCTCTCTGGAACGAGGCAAGGCGAGGGCACACCCGCCTCCGCGGGCGCGAGAGGAAACTTGGCGCGCGGGGTTCTCCGCGGCGCATGGCCCCTGGTGCTTCGTGGGCGCCGGGGTGGCCTGAGGACCGGTCTCCTGGCACCCTAAGTTAGTTCGAGGGGCTGACCGCCCGGTTGACTCGTCTACCCTCGGGACGTCGCCCACTTGGCGTGGTGCCCAGGTCCGGGGCGGGGCGGCGGCACCGCCCGCAGGTCAAACTGCCGTGGGCGCCCGGGCGTGACGCCGCGTGTGGGTTGAGTGTTGGGGTGCGGCCCCCTCCTCCACAGTGAGCCTGGGCTGTCTGCTCTCCGACCCCCCCGAGGACTGCCGCAGCGACGGCGGCAGTAGCAGCGGTTGCAGCAGCAGCAGCAGTAGCAGCAGCGCCGGGGAGCCCGGAGGCACCGAGAGCAGCTCGTCCCCGCGCGCACCGGAGCCTGAAACCCCAGAGCTCCACGACGCCGAAGTCCCCGATGGACACCTGGCAGCGATGCAGCGGCCGGTTGCCAGGTCAAAAATCAAGGTAGGGTGTCGACTCTGCCCCCGCCGCCACCTGCACCACGCCCTGGCGTCCGGCTCCGGAGCCCCGGCGCCCCTCCCTGCCGCGCCCGCCCGCGCACCCGGGGCCCAGGCGCCGCACGCCGGCCCGTCACTCCTGCACCTGCCCCCTGGGCGGCAGCCAGGCTCCGCGCGACCTGTCCCCTGCACCACAGTGCCCGGGCTGCCAACATCTTAAGCCGACCCAACCCCCAGAGTGGTGGCCCTGTCTGACGCTGGCAGTGGCTTCGGGAACCACTTAAGATCGAGCCCAACTACCCAGGTTCAGCTGCCCACCCTGTGTCCAAGGCCAGACTATTAACAAGACGGCCCGAGACTTCGGATGGAGAAAAAGCGCGACCCGCGGTCTTAGACGTGATGCGCTCTGGGACGCAGTCCTTGGCACCTTGAAGTCCTGAGAGTTTTGTTTCCCTCCTTGTTTTTTTGGGACACAATGGGCCTCGCAGTCACCGCTATTTCCAGTGCCCTGGTGGAGCCTGTTAGACGGGAAGCTTGTGCGGGGCACTTTAGTTTTTGCCTTTTCTCTCAAATCTTCAAGAATTAAATGAGTGGGTAAAAGATAAAAAGGCTCACCAGCAGATTTTTTTCTTCAGCGTTCCTCCCCTAGTGGATTGGAATGTCTGTGCCCCTCAAAAGCTATAGAAGGCAACATCTTATCTGGATGGCCATCAGCGCTTTGTTGGGTGGAACTTCCATGACCACCTGTTCAAAGGTATCCGCTACCCCTAGGATTAAGGAATCCTGCCCCGCTGACTCACAGCTAGCTAGAGGGGGAGGGGAGGCGGCTTGTTTTATGCATAAACCCCAGGTCCTAGCCTGGCGGGCTATAGTGCCACCTTATGCAAAGTGCGCCATAATTCTAGGGCGCCCCAGAGTATCGGGGAGGGAAGCGTGAATCTAGGGGTTAGATGGGGATAAAGAAAGCAGCTTTTCCTGCGCCCCCCGGCCCCTCGGGGTGGGCCGGGGCGCATTTGGTTCTGAATTAGGATTTGAGGCCAGAGCACCGGAAAGACTCTAGGATGTTGCAAGCTGGGGTACTATACTTCACAGAGTGCACTAAGGTTTGGAGTGAGCAGTCTGGAGGCTTCTGGGCCAGGTGGGGTTAAGTGGGAGGGAAACGTTTTCCTGAAGTGGATAGCTCTTGCCCTTTGGGAAATACTACAAAGTGCCCCACTTGCATATTTATCACCTGGCTAGAAAGACAATTGTGAGGTTGTTTGGGGAGGGACAGTAGTTCGTTAGTTTGCCCCTCCTCCATCCCCATCTTGGTAAGGAGAGAAAGCCAGTCTCATGAGATTCTGGAAGATCTATTTTCTGCCTTAGGCAGACACAAGTGTTGGAATTTTGGATTAAGGGAGTCAATAAACCAGTCATTTCCAAGATAAATTGCCTCTGTGGTGGGGGAGGGGCCCGGGCATATTTGCAGACCGTTAACAAGCAACCTGCTCCCCACACTTTTCCATTTCCTAGGGAGTATTTATTCACGGAAGGCGTCTGAAGGCCTTTCTAGGCCAGCAGTGGAGACATTTTGGTATGAGAATCACCGAAGCCTCTGGAAATATCTGCCCTGGTATTAGCAGTTTTCAAGTGGCTGATCAAATTGCCCATCTCTTAGCACATTGTGTGACTATTTCATAAGGCATTCAGAACTCAAAGAATTTCCTCTAAGAATTAGTTTCTTAGCCTGGTGGGGTGGCCCATGCCCTTAGTTCCAACACTCAGGAGGCAGAGGCAGATGGATCGCTGTGAGTTACAGGCCAGCCTGGTTTACATAATGGAGTTCCAAGCCAGAGAGGGCAACATAGGGTGACCCTATTTCAACAAACAAACAAACAAACAAACAAGCAAACAGGTTTAATTTTTTTGAGTGGAAGAGGAAGAAAGCCATTCAAGGATGAGGTCCATTCATGGCATGGCATATTTTCGCCCCCGTAGAGCTGATCGTCCCCACCTTCCATGTTAGACAAGCACTATATAACGGAGTTGCGGCCCCAGCCATGTGTACTGCTTTAATGGCTTAGTTTTAAAACTTGAAGACACACATTGGTCAGTGGGCTTGTAGGACCAAAGAAAGGGCAAGTGTGAGCCTGGGGGGGTGACACACGGACGGACGGACTACACACGACACAAAACATCCAGCAGCAGGCAGTGTGTCTGCTGTGTACAAGACAGCCAAGAGATAAAACACTCGGACTCCATGTGTTCCTTCCAGAACACTCTGGCAGTAGAGATTAAGTATCAAAGACGTGCATTTGTAAGTTCTTCAGAACTGTGTGAGCTTGAGCAGTTCTTCATTGTTCTGGGCTTCGGTTTCCTTATTTGTAAAACGTATTCAAGTGTGCATGATCTCTACCTACTTCAGTGTGAGGTGGAATGCAGCCCGGTGTATGCTCATTAACCATGGATGATGCTCTCTGGTCTGGTGGGGGAAACACCTGCAGCATCTCCGGAGAGGAGAATGAGGACCAAACCGGAAGCACCAGCCAAGATGTGCTTGCTGAGTTGGGAAGGGTTGTTGATATGGATAGGAGGGCTGTGGAAATGAGGGTGAGTGGTGTTAGGGTGATGTGGGCTGAGCCTTGTGCTTGAGTAAGGAATCAATGTTCTGGTGAGCAAAGGATAGGAAATATACCCACTAGGATCAGGGGCGGAGTTGGCAGCGTGGAGTGGGAAATGAAGCTTAGGACAAGATGAGAGCGGGTTGAAGGGCCAAGCCAAGAAGAGTGTTCCTCCATGGGCAGAGGAGCAGCTTTGGAAGCCTTCTGAGAAGGGAAGACTTGACTGGGAACATCTTGCTCCTCAAAGCCTCCTTGTGAAGAACTGTGTGAGTTACATGAAAAAAATGAGTGGGGAATCATTAGCACGCTTGAGCCATCACCAACTGCCCAACAGGAAGGCAGCCCACAGCCCCTTGGTGAAGGTTTTCTTAATGCCCTGCCCTGCAGCAGGAACCTGGGGTTTGACTGTGGTGAGTGGGTCTGGGAAGAAGGCTTGAAACCAGGTTGGGAAGATGTAGCTCATCCCTGCTTGTCTGACCTTCCATTGTGGGCTTTGGGGCAGGTTGTGACGTGATCTCTTTAAGACTAAGACTTTGGTAATTTAAAAAACAGGTTGTGGTGGGGAGATACATACATCTGGGTCCAATCAAGGACCTCATTTGCAGATCTCTAACTGTGGGCTAGACAAACCCTGGAAATGCAGGTGCCTTCTGTCTCCAAGTCTTCTACGTCTAATCTAAAGTGAACTCTGTGAGTTGACTCACTGGCTGGCAGGTCCCTGGTGCAAGTAGGAACTAGCAGGCAAATTTCTGTTCTTACCCCATCCTAATCTGTTCTCTTTTCCTTTGGCCTTCCCCTCCCTTGTGAGTTCTGAAGAAGTACAGCTAGGCTTGGTGGCGAACGCCTTTGATCTCAGCACTGGAGGCAGAGGCAGGCAGATCTTTGTGGGTTCAAAGGCACCCTGGTCTACATATGCAGTTACAGGTCAGCCAGGGCTACATAGTGAGACCTTGTCTCAATAAAAAAGAAAAAGTAGTCCACCTTTCACTTGGCTCTCTAGTGGGTGGTGACAGTATGTGTCAAATAGGTGCCCTTTTTTCCCTACAATTTTAATTATGACGAGTTTCAAAGACAAAAGAATAGGTATCTGTCACTTGGTCTCAGCCCATCCTTACTGGCTTCCATCCCCCACCTTCCCATATAAGACACTGAAGCAGTTTCCAGATATACTAGTCATGTTCTACATAACTACGGGCCATACATAGAACTGTGATCCTGTAAAATTATAATGCTGTGTGACGTCTTAGCCAGCTCAGCTTGTGTAAATACACTCTGTAATGTCCATGCAATGGTAAAATTGCCTAACCCAGCTTTCTCGGAATGGATCCATCATTAAGCAATGACTGACTGTATTTCAATTATAAGTGGTTCCAAATGTGCCCCAATCACACCCACTTGAATTATGTGTTCACATTGTTAAATGGCTTGTAAATGCCTACTCTCCTCCTCCAGTTTGTTTAATCAGGTCCATGTAACGTCCACACAGCGTGATTGACGTTTGGCATGGCCTTTAGTTGCTTTTAATTTACATGTTTTTTTCCTCCCCTTTTTTATGTACTTGCAAGCTAATTGTTGGAGCAGTGGGTCATTCGCTTTGTAGAGGTCACAACAATCTGGATTTTGCTCAGTTAGTCACTGTGGGCATTTCTCATTCTCTGTTAACTCCAAGTGGATTTTAGGGATAAGGGTACATCATCCAACAGGGTAGGGTAGTCCTTGTCACAGGTAGCTTAAGTCACATAGGATTAAAAGCGAAAGTCCTTAGTGCTGCTGAATTGGCCAGTTCCGGATGAAGATTTCCCATCATAGAAGCTGTATGGGACAGCACTGCTCTGTATGCTTGATCAGTTACTGAGTTTCAGCTTGACTGTGTCACAGTGTGTGTGACAGGGTGAAGGGTCGGGTTCCCTAAAGAGGCAGCGCGTGTTTGTTACCTTTCTGTGATAATAGGAGCTATTGGTGCTTAGGGCATAAATATTTTGGTATTGCAAAATAGTGATAATCCAGTTCTGTTCATCAGTTAGCTGTAGCCAGTGTTGACCTTGAGGCCTTGCTCATGCTAATCACATGCTTTCCCACTGAGCCATACCCTAGGAGACTTTCAGAAGACATATTTCTTTGTTTTTTTTTTTTGTTTTGTTTTTAGGTTTTTTGAGACAGGGTTTCTCTGTGTAGCCCTGGCTACCCTGGAATTAGCATGTAAACCAAGCTGGCCTCGAACTCACAGAGATTGGCCTGCCTCTGCCTCCCGAGTGCTGGGATCCCACCACCACCTGGCAACAAGGCATATTTTGGTAGAGACAGATTTTCGCTCACATTCTGTTTGGTTTCATAGGGGTAGTTTGTTAGGAAAGGCAGGAGAATGCTTGATGCCTGCTTGGTGTGGTTATGCACACCTGTAGTCCCA